TAATTAATAAAATGATTATTTTTATTTAAATTCAAAAATTTGATGTAAATTCTAAAATACTTTTAAAATTCAAAAATATTACGATTTTTGTCGATAATTGTTAATATTTAGTTAGAAATAAATGTAAATTTTAATACATTTAAGTATGTTGAAATGCTTATATTGGAAGAAAAGCCAAAAGTTTGTAAAATAATTTGATAAGTGAATAACAATTTTCAACCTACACAAACGAATTGCTAAATCTACAAAATTCTTGGATATCTAATAGTTGAATATATCATGATAGTTATGAAAAAAGTATCCAAAATAAATGGCGCCCTTAACCCTTTCCACTCGGATGCCGCCGTGAAAAGCCATTTTGGTCCCTAAACGACTAATACCTACTAATCGCATTGTTAATAAATAATATGGTTAATAATAATGAAGTTTGTTAAATCTGTATAATTGCCATCCTCTGAAAAGTAGCATGAAATTATTTTAAATTATATTAGGTTGTCAAATAACTCCCTTCCGCTTTTATATATATATATATATATATATATATATAGATATATATATATAAAAGCGGAAGGGAGATATTTGACAACCTAATATAAAATTGTATTTAGATCTTTTTCTGTATAAATGTTCTAATAAATATATAATGTACTAATTATTGACCATGATTACAATTTATAAAAAATTTAAAAAATTATTATATTTAAATTAATTAGCATATGTTATTTCTCAAATTGCCTATTAAACTATCGGCAATATTTTCTTTTTACATTTTTTAGTCAACTAACTGTGATGGTGATCGACTCCTTATATCACCAGCTGGAAAAGTTGATTTGTCAGATGCACAACGTTATTGCGGAAAAGGAACGTTGACGCAAGTATCTACAGCTAATACTATGAATATAGGTATAATTTGTTTTCATATAATCTTTTCTCATTTTAAATAAAGCACACACAGATATATATCTATGTATGTCACCCAATTAACGAGTACATTGTAATATATTATTTTTATAAGGTGTATTCTTATCTACATCAACGATTTACCGGTTCCTAAAAATCTTTGTAATTTTATTTTATCTGCGAAAGACACCAGCCTTATCATCAAATCCAAATTTCTTAAGAAATTTTTATACATATAAATTAAATGTTCTTATGAAGGCAATAAAGAAATGGTTCCACGAAAACAATCTTGCCTTAACTAGTAGTAAATCTCAAATCATATCCTTTAGTACAATAAATCAATTATCCAAGAATATTACCTCATTACGACATTAAGGATATAACCAGGGCCGGTCCTGGGGTTTTTAGCGCCCGCATGCAATTTCTTTTTCTACTCGTATTTTATGTCGGATTTTTTAAATTTTAATTTAATTTATTTTTAATTTTTCATTATTTACAATATCCAAAACTGCATCATAAACTTCTCCTTGTTGATATCGTAAGGGCCGAATTGCATTCAGCTTTACTTTCCCGCCAGATTCAGAGTATCAGATTGTTTTTTTAATGTTAAATTTTTAACGTATTTTGAAAGTTTCAAAAGTTCAAAGATCAGTAAAAAATGCAAAGAAATTAACGATAACTTTGTTTAACGATATTGAAAAAAAAACTTATTATGTTTGTATTTGTATTATTTCTGCTTAGTTAATTATTAAATTTAAAGGTGTAAAAAAAGGGCCACGATTTTTATTTTATTTTTCATATTTGTGCCATTTCTATAACCACGCATGTTTTCAACATTCAAAGTTCATCAGATGCGAAAAATTTGCAACAAAAACAAAAGTTACAATTCAATTTCTCGGAATAAATATTTTTTAATTTCCCATTTTTCATTTTCTCTATTATAATTAGTATTTTTAACAAGTTTTGTTTCAACTAAATAAGCATATAAAATATATATAATATATTCGAAATTTCATTCCCAATCTCGTTTTGGCGCCCCCTAAGGCGTGCACCCGCATTTTTCGCATGCATTGCATTGAAGGGTGGAGCGGTCCTGGATATAACAAATGATCTTTCTCAAGTATCAAGATTTCTTGGAAATTGTAAATCAAATTATTTTTAACTGTCAATCACAATAAAATGAACTATATTAAAATTTTCTACTTTTATTCACAATTAGTATTTTTGAAACAAGTAAAAGTGGCCAAATTGGTTTTGAATTTTAACGATAGATTTGGCTAAATTGCTTTTGAATTAATAATAAGAAAGATCAAAATGAACTTTTACTCAAATATTTTATTAGATACTAGAATCAAATTGACAATTTTTAATTTGAAATTTTAGTTCTTCATTCTGTGAATAATGGTGGTAGCGGAAGATTCTTATGTTCAATTAGAGCCACACAGTCAGCTCAGCAATGCAATTGTGGATGGAAAAAAACGGTATGTAGTTTTGATTATTATATCTGAAAAGTTACATTGCGCACTCTTTTGCTTCATTAAACTTCATTAAAGGTGTAATTTTTAATTATTTTAGGTCCTTATATTGTATGAAAAAACGTTTGTAATTTATTTCGTTTGATAAATATATTATATTGCATTAAATTGTTGTACTGATTTTCTAGACTCGCATTGTTGGGGGTGTTGAAACAGGCATCAATGAATATCCAATGATGGCAGGACTTATAGACTATACAAATAAAATAGTGTATTGCGGCGCTACAATCATTAGCAACAGGTAAATTGCCTGACCTACATCATTCTAGATAATATTTAAAATTTGGATTCAAAATGAGCAAATTCGATTTTATCTTTTACGTCTGCAGTATTTGAACTAATCAATGAAGCAAAGTCATCTCTGAAGATAAAACTTCGTGCTCACATTAGTCCATTTCTGAGTTATTTTACAATTCTAAAAGATCATTTTGCATGGGAACAACTTTGAAGCGCAACACATACACATAAATAACATACCAAAAGCTTTTACTCGTGATATTTCGATTCTTATTTGAAAGATATAATACTATTAACGCAAATAAAACTAGTTGGTTTGGTATTTAGCCTTGAGGCAAGTTACATGAACTTCCCGATATGTGTAAATAATCGACTTAATCAAAAAAAAGTGTAAATAATATACTTCATCAATCCTACTTAAAAAAAAACAATAATAATTTTAGCAAACTTTGACGAATTTGTAAAATTGAACTACTTGTCGTAAGGCCGTAATATTACAGTAAGTTCTATAAGACCATGATGTATATCGCCAAAAAAAGTTCCACGAAAATCGGCTTAATTTTTTTTTTCAACAGTTAATTACAAGAAAACGGCTCGGTAAATTTTCATCTAAAATTAATCAGTACCATTCCCAACTAATATCTTTCGAACAGTTTTTAATATTTTAAAATCGGTTCGGTAGGATGAGCTTAAATGTCGACGAAAATTTAACACTTTTTTTAACAGTTAATTACAAGAAAACGGCTCGGTAGATTTTCACCTAAAATTAATCAGTATCATTCCCAACTAATATCTTTCTAACAGTTTTTGATATTTTAAAATCGGTTCGGTAGGATGAGCTTAAATGTCGACGAAAATTTAACACTTTTTTTCAACAGTTAATTACAAGAAAACGGCTCGGTAGATTTTCACCTAAAATTAATCAGTATCATTCCCAACTAATATCTTTCGAACAGTTTTTGATATTTTAAAATCGGTTCGGTAGGATGAGCTTAAATGTCGACGAAAATTTAACACTTTTTTTAACAGTTAATTACAAGAAAACGGCTCGGTAGATTTTCACCTAAAATTAATCAGTATCATTCCCAACTAATATCTTTCTAACAGTTTTTGATATTTTAAAATCGGTTCGGTAGGATGAGCTTAAATGTCGACGAAAATTTAACACTTTTTTTCAACAGTTAATTACAAGAAAACGGCTCGGTAGATTTTCACCTAAAATTAATCAGTATCATTCCCAACTAATATCTTTCTAACAGTTTTTGATATTTTAAAATCGGTTCGGTAGGATGAGCTTAAATGTCGACGAAAATTTAACACTTTTTTTCAACAGTTAATTACAAGAAGACGGCTCGGTAGATTTTCACCTAAAATTAATCAGTATCATTCCCAACTAATATCTTTCGAACAGTTTTTGATATTTTAAAATCGGTTCGGTAGGATGAGCTTAAATGTCGACGAAAATTTAACACTTTTTTTAAACAGTTAATTACAAGAAAACGGCTCGGTAGATTTTCACCTAAAATTAATCAGTATCATTCCCAACTAATATCTTTCGAACAGTTTTTGATATTTTAAAATCGGTTCGGTAGGATGAGCTTAAATGTCGACGAAAATTTAACACTTTTTTTAAACAGTTAATTACAAGAAAACGGCTCGGTAGATTTTCACCTAAAATTAATCAGTATCATTCCCAACTAATATCTTTCTAACAGTTTTTGATATTTTAAAATCGGTTCGGTAGGATGAGCTTAAATGTCGACGAAAATTTAACACTTTTTTTAACAGTTAATTACAAGAAAACGGCTCGGTAGATTTTCACCTAAAATTAATCAGTATCATTCCCAACTAATATCTTTCTAACAGTTTTTGATATTTTAAAATCGGTTCGGTAGGATGAGCTTAAATGTCGACGAAAATTTAACACTTTTTTTCAACAGTTAATTACAAGAAAACGGCTCGGTAGATTTTCACCTAAAATTAATCAGTATCATTCCCAACTAATATCTTTCTAACAGTTTTTGATATTTTAAAATCGGTTCGGTAGGATGAGCTTAAATGTCGACGAAAATTTAACACTTTTTTTCAACAGTTAATTACAAGAAGACGGCTCGGTAGATTTTCACCTAAAATTAATCAGTATCATTCCCAACTAATATCTTTCGAACAGTTTTTGATATTTTAAAATCGGTTCGGTAGGATGAGCTTAAATGTCGACGAAAATTTAACACTTTTTTTAAACAGTTAATTACAAGAAAACGGCTCGGTAGATTTTCACCTAAAATTAATCAGTATCATTCCCAACTAATATCTTTCGAACAGTTTTTGATATTTTAAAATCGGTTCGGTAGGATGAGCTTAAATGTCGACGAAAATTTAACACTTTTTTTAAACAGTTAATTACAAGAAAACGGCTCGGTAGATTTTCACCTAAAATTAATCAGTATCATTCCCAACTAATATCTTTCGAACAGTTTTTGATATTTTAAAATCGGTAGGATGAGCTTAAATGTCGACGAAAATTTAACACTTTTTTTAAACAGTTAATTACAAGAAAACGGCTCGGTAGATTTTCACCTAAAATTAATCAGTATCATTCCCAACTAATATCTTTCGAACAGTTTTTGATATTTTAAAATCGGTTCGGTAGGATGAGCTTAAATGTCGACGAAAATTAACACTTTTTTTAAACAGTTAATTACAAGAAAACGGCTCGGTAGATTTTCACCTAAAATTAATCAGTATCATTCCCAACTAATATCTTTCGAACAGTTTTTGATATTTTAAAATCGGTAGGATGAGCTTAAATGTCGATGAAAATTTAACACTTTTTTTCAACAGTTAATTACAAGAAGACGGCTCGGTAGATTTTCACCTAAAATTAATCAGTACCATTCCCAACTAATATCTTTCGAACAGTTTTTGATTTTTTAAAATCGGTTCGGTAGGATGAGCTTAAATGTGGACGAAAAATTTAACACTTTTTTTCGAATTACAAAGAAACGGCTTGTCAGATCGTTGCACAAAACTGACAAACGATAGTCCTCAACGAAATACATCAAATGGCTTTTCAATTTCTAAAATCGGTTCAGGCGTTTTTGAGAAAACGTCGATCAAAAGTCTAATTTTGACAAATGCCAAAAAAACCATACTGATTTTTGCAAACTTTGACGAATTTTTAAAGCTGAACCAGTTGTCGTAGGACCGTAATATTTTAGTATGATCTAGAAGACTATGGTATCTATCGTCAAAAAAATAATAATAAAAATCGTCGAAATTTTTTTTTTAAAAACTTTATTACAAGAAAACGGCCCGGCCGATCTCTACCAAAAACTAATCAGCACGATTCCCAACCAATATCTTTCGAACGGTTTTTGAATTTTCAAAATAGATTCAGAATTGCGGGCTAAAACGTAGACGAAAAATTTTTCACTTTTCTGCCATTTATAAAGAAACGGCTTGGCCGATCGTCACACAAAACTGACAAACAATAGTTCTCGTCGAGATACATCGAATGGCTTTTAAATTTTTGAAATCGACCCAGCCGTTTTCGAGAAAACGTCGATTTACGGCAAAAAATCTGTTCACATACACACACACACACACACACACATACTTTTTCCAAATTTGGTCTCATTCGATTCAGAATGGCTTGAAACGTCGAGAAAACATAAAATTAGCGAATCGGATTTTTTGATGAAAACATAAACTTCTCCTTCGGGAAGTTAAAAAAGAGTGCCCGTAAGAAGTAAAACTTATTTGCTACTATACAAGATAGCATTTAAGTAAAAATAATTACATTTGTTTTATTATTTTTAAGGAACAGGGTAAAATATATTTCTGATTCAGGTATTTTTCATTAAATCAACATTTGTACTACAATGTAACTTTAAAATGTTCACTTATCTATGCCGATTTCCTTGTTGATCGGAACGCATACAACGACAGATCTCTATTCACATACGCGACTATTAATCACAATCGACCCGTATAGAAATAATATCATCGTTAGCGAATGACGAATCATTGGCACTCGACTCTCATCTTATTTTATCTGCCTAGTCGCGCCTCAAGAAGTTATACTTAAAAAAATTGGTTTAATGCACGTAAAAATACGTCTATCTATCCTAATGCACCATATGCCCTAAAAGTGCATGATTGAAAATATTTTTATGTAATTTTGAAAATTATTAATATATTTAATTTATAATATTGATATTTCATGTGTTTTTACATTATAGATATTTAGTCACAGCGGCACATTGTGTGATTAATAGAATTCCGAGTGGTTTAGGTGTGCTGGTTGGTGATCACGATATTTCAACTGGTAAATAGATAATAAGAAAACATCAAATAAGCAAATTAAAAAACCTTTTAATTAGAAAAAGAATATAAATAAGAGAAAGCATTATTATATAAAATCAAAAAGTAAAGTCTATAAAGTCATGTAAAGAAGAATAATCGTACAGTTATATATCAATTGCAGTTCAAAATTCATTTCGCCATCAATGGATATCTCTCTGATTCTCTTGATCATTAATCAATTAGGAATATAATTTTAAATATTTTCATTATTTCATACTTGGTATCATTTCGAACAAATTCATGTTTTCAATTATGCTCTAACTAAATTTAATTTATTAAATAAACTATTTTCTTTTATTGCAAATAGGTTCTGAAACAGGTTCATCAAGATTATATGGCGTAGAAAATGTCAGAATTCATGAAAGATTTGATGCCGTAACATATCAAAATGATATTGCAATTATAAGAACCAATGCCGACATAAATTTTTCTCAAGAGGTTGGACCAGCTTGCTTACCTTTTAAGTAAGTAATAAAATATTGAATAAATTTTTTATCTATAATAAGCTTTAAATCAATTTTCACGATTAGTGAAGATTCTAATTTTGTTCAAAAATGATGTCGCAAAGTTCATATTACATATATACGCAAATCATCTCTAACTTTTAATATCATTATTTGAATATTATATTATCAAACATGAAATTTGATATTAACTTTCGATACATTTCAATTTCAACGTCTGATTTGGCAATCTCCGATGTCGCATCTTGTTAATTCACAAATAGAGTCAGGGGCGTAACTACCGCCGTATCAGCCGTATCAAAAATACGGGGCCCCCGAGACAGGAGGCCCCCAACGAGCGCAAGCTGAAAGCAAAACTACATTTTTTTAAGTATTGAACTTCAACTTGTAAGCTAACGCTTTAAGAGAATTTATTTTTGCAAGCTCTAGCAATCAATTCAATTAGTAAAGCTTTTGCACATTCTATAAGTTAATATTGTAAATAAATCTATGAAACTAATTCAGATTATAATTTGGAATTTTTATAGTTATATTTATAACATGTTTTTGTTTGTTGTTGTTACTACTTGAATTGTCTACATGACGTGTCAGTTTAATAGTTAGATTTGGATCAATATGATCAACTAAATCATTTTCAGATTTTATTCTTTACTGTTTAAAAATATTAGTTTCTTTTCTGAATCTTTTCAACACGCCAGTAATGACTTACAAAAAACTAGTATTTTATTAAGTAATCTTTTGAATAGACTGTGCGAATTAAGATATGAAAGTTTATTGACATAGTTTGCTGAAGAAGTACAAATAATTTGTAAAAATATGGATTGCAATAACTATTTTAAAGAACAAAAGACGAAAGATAATGAAGCGTTATTATGATTAAGTTATCACAAGATGAGAGAATTTTAGATCTGAAATCTTATTTTCATGTATATTATTGCTGTTTGGATATATTAATTTCACAAACCAAACAAAGATTTCAAAACCTTTGCGACGTAAGTAGTAACATTTGTCATTTCGAAATCGAGAATTAATAAACGTTTCCGGAAAACTGTCGACAGAATTACTGTAAAGGAATATTGTAAAACAGCTCATATGATCATCACCAATTGATAGTTCTAGAAAGAGGTTTGAATATAGAAATCTAAAAAATTTATTTCATTAAGGTACAATGATGCAATGGGCTTGTATCCAGTTTTCCCAACGAAATACAGTAAGCATTTTTTTGGCCCTTAATTACAATTCACTGTTAAAATCGCAACTGCTTAATAAAATTTAAAGTTTACTAACTACTTCGGTTTTTCAAAAAAAAGGCATTGAGAGTGAAAATATAGCTGGAATCATTTGTACAAAATTCAGAAAATTAGAGAAAATTAGATAGATAAATAATTAGAATGATTAATAAATATTCTTTTAATTTTATGTATTTTTATATTTTGCTAATAAAAGTTCTTCTTGAGGGGGCCTTCAAACAAATTTTGATACGGGGCCCCGCCAAGGCACGCTACGCCCTTGAATAGAGTCTATTTTCGCACACAAGATCAAATATTACAGTGCTTTAGCTTTACAAAACACACCAATTGGATTTATAAAATTTCTGTTTTCAAGTTTTGTTGTTTTGTTGAAAATATTTACCGAAAGTGAAAAACTAAGAACATTTAGTTTTGTTTTAATACATTCACTATTTTTTCTTTCAGACTGAAGTTGTTATAAAAATTTAGGACTAAAATATAACGTTTACCTACTAATTATTAATTAAATTTTATTTTGTTGATTCTCAGTTACCGAGGAACAAATTTTGCTGGTGCTTATGTCACAGCCTTGGGCTGGGGAGCTACAGGATTTGGGGAAACAACATCAAATCGTCTAATGAAAGTACAACTCAACGTACAAACTAATGATGTTTGCTCGAAACATTACCCAAATCGCCTTGGTCCTGGGCAATTATGCACATACGCTGATGGCCAAGACTCATGTCAGGTAGTTTAAAAAAATGCATTTTTTAATTCATTTGAAATATAAAAGTTTTGGATATAAAATTTGGTTTAGTTTTGAATGTTAAACTGCAATTATACCAAATTTTAAAAATTTGCTTTCTGTAAAAATATATTCAAGGAAAAAATTATTTTACAGAATGATTCAGGTGGTCCTTTGTGCTATGAAAATTACAATGCCGGCAGGGTATTTCTAGTAGGCGTGATTAGCTATAGTATTGGGTGTGCAACCACAACTCCAGGAGTTAATACTAGGGTAACAAGTTACTTAGATTGGATCCAAGTAAATACTCCCGACGCCCAATATTGTATTAAATAAGTAATATTTCAACATATATATACATTTATATAAACATAATTTATGTTGTACTACGAATATTGAATCCAAATAAAACCAAAATGTTTTTGAAAATATAAAATTCATTCACCGTTAGGTTATTTCGAAACCAGACATGTACTATTTGGAAGTGACTACGACTTATGACTATCATTCTACGCTATTGGAGAGAAAAGAAAAGAGGTTATTGAAAAGAAAATGTTCGATTTCTAATTATAATGCTTAATAATTCATAAATTAATGAGTAAACAGAACCTGGTATGTTTTCTCGAAAGAGCAACCCACCGGTTTACTACTAAGGTTCAAATAAGAGTAGAGTAGAGCAGGGCTTAAAGGTAAGGGATCGTCCATTAATCACGTGATCGATTTTTTTATGGATTTTTGGACTTCCCCTCCCTCCTTGGTGATACTTGGTGATATTCAAAACTACCCCCCCTCCCACACCAAACGAGAAAAAAATGTATTTTTTTGTTTTCAGAAAATGTTTGAATTTTTTTCAAAAAAAAATCAGGTCAAAAAAAATACACGTGATATCTTACTATACCCCTCCCTCCCCCACGTAATATTTTGTGATATTTTGTCAAACCCCCTTCCCGCTAAAAACCTCACGTGATTAATGGACGCTCTCTAAAAAGGGCCGCAACTGGTATCTAGAAAACCCGTAAAGTTATGAATTTTAACAACAATATTTGCAAGTGAAGGGTAAAAGATGTATAACCAGCCATCACCTTGAATCTCACGACGCTGCTATCGGAATATAAACGGCAATGTTTGAAAATCCATCACAAAAGTAGTTTGTTTCGTTGTTAATTTTTTTGGTTGTGAACACTGGTGTTTAGTTAACGAGATTTTAATATAATTTTTAAGAATACTTTATTTAATGTTTCATAAGATGCATGTATTGTTTAATTCAAGTTAGATCCACCTGCTCTTTTTTAATATAAGCTCTACAAGTGCTCAAATGTCGGTGGTGTAAAAAAGACCAACTGAATCTTTACCCTGGTAAAGGTGTAAATAATAAAAATTAGTAAATAAAAAGTAAATTAAGTTTGAAATCAATTTAATTAGAGATAAATCAATAAATAAGTATTCCAACTTTGCTAATGAATATTTCTGACATACTGACAAAATACCAAATCAAGGTTATATAGATGTGTGTTTTCTGCAAAAAATGTACCCATGAAATTTATATTTTGCATTGGTTGAATAATATAACTATTATTTTGTAAAAACGCTTTAAAATTAAAAATAAGACATAGAATCTGTACGCCCCTGTCTGTCCCATTTTAAACCCGCCTATGGAGCAAACAGAACCGGGTGATAAATTTTTGGAAAACAGCAATGATTATTTGTTGTGATATAATTATAATTATATCACAACAAATTACACTCATCAAACAAAGAACTATCTGACTATATTAAGTAAAACTCCCAGTTAGTTAATCATAGCATAATCATTGCTGTTTTCCAAAAATTTATCACCCGGTTCTGAAACCAATTAAGGTAAACGTACCATATTACGGGATGTTAAGAAACGTTTGACTTTAAAGACGAATTTTAGAGAAAATAGGAAAGTGGACGAACTAAATCTGTTATATTTTATTAATTAGACCTTTGAGATTATTATAAAACAAGATTTTTCGTCGTAGAACGTCATTTATAGAAATAATCGGCATTTTGGTGAACCACGCGTTTGTCTCTAATTCCGTGATAAAATTCGGTTCATGAACTTAATGCCGGGAGTCGTTGTACACTATTCCGTGATAGCGCTCGAAGCATACATTTACACCGTAAATACATACAACTACCGTATTTACGAATATGTCCCTAATTCGCTGCATACATACACACATACCCGCACACTAGTGATTCGTGCTCTATAAATATGATAGAAAACAAGTGCACTACGAGTTTTGCCCTATTTCTATAAGCTTTGACATAACACAAATGATTTATCGTAGATGAAGTAAAAGAAACATCTGATTTTCTCATTACTACCATATTTTATGTATATGGGAATAATGGAAATAAGTAAAAAAATCATATATTTTCTTGCTAAAGAGTAGTAATTTCAAACTCAATTATTAGGGTTAAAAATAAAAAAAAACATATACCGTAATTAGGTCACAATATTCTGTGGTCATTACCAAACTTAGTAACACCAAAAACACCACTAAATTTAAGCATAATTGAGAATAAAAGACTAAAATAATTCAGGTCTACTTTTCCTAATTGCGTGACACTCACGGAATTACGTTCAATGCCTCAATTTTGTGAACTTAATTACGGGAGTCACAAAATTGACACTTTCTTAAAACATATTTGCTCAATTTAACTATAAAACTTATCACTTATTAATTCTTAACAATAATATCACAAATTTATATTGAATAAGCTTACCAGTGTCACATAAAAATCTTAAGCAATTGTAGCGTCATATTAACCTAACTAACAACAGGACTGTACGTAATGGCGATCGGGTTATGACTCTATATGGTTTTAAAAACTAATATTTAAAATGGAAAATCGTGCTTATTTGATGAGATTCGAATTATAGTTTATGTGGTATTGTTTAAAATTATTATTCACCGACTGTTTTCTTATTTTGCGATCAAAATGAAAAACTCCCGTAATAATGTACTATCCCGGAATAGTGTACGTTTACCTTAATTGGTTTTGTTTTCACAATATAATTGCTTAAGGTCAAATTGGACCTTCGTGCCCGCCCTCCATATGAAAGGATTGCTATTACCGGTGCGCCTATTTTATTTCGATATATTGCGTATACATTTTTCTGTAAAATCGTCAAAAGCTACACCTATGATGTTTTTAGACAGTCAACTCTAATCCTTTAATGTGTTTTTGTTGAATTTCTCTATATACATCTATGCAACAGCAAAAAATTCTACCCTGATAAAAAGCCATCCCTGGACGTAGATATCGTTACATGGAGCCGTATAAATACCTGTCAATCTTTCAGTATTATTTATCCTCGTTTGCTAATGACGAACACTATTAGGATCCAAGGTAAAGTATTCATAAACATGCAATATTTTGTATCCATATTATTGTTTAAGAAAAAAACAGTGAAACAGTAAACAGTTAACAGTAAACAAATAACCAAATAACTGTTTACTGTTTCACTCTTTTTTTTAAAACAATAATATAGATACAAAATATTATTATTAACTAAAATTATATTATTAACTAAAATAAAATATATGTTAGGCGATAGTATACTATCGCCTAACATATATTTTATTTTAGTTCCTCAGTTAATATAAAAATCGTTAAATAGCATGTTGAAAAAACGAATGTTAAAATAGTATTAATTTTGCTTGATACGTGAATGTCATGAGCAGGAGTTTCTATATAAATAAAAATAAAACATATCACCGCAAGAGATCACCAAGAATTATTATACTGCACTTACCTTAAATTGGACTTTAAGTAGCCATCAGTGACAGTTATACGGTCGTTTACCATTTTTTCCGTAACACTTGACACATTTTGATTTAGCAACTAAGTTATTACTCATTACATATCATTACCTACTATTATGACAATAATAGGGATACAATAATTTTAAAAACTTAATTTAATTACAATTGTTGCCTATTAAATTGTTTAAGTCCACTTTTGTTAACACAAAAACTTATAATGTCACTAACATTTGAATAAAAGCAACATGGTGCAGTAATGAACAACAGAACTTGAGAGCCATAAACATACATGAAGTTTGCGCAATTTAACGCTGATGTTGGCAATAAGCTTTGCATGTACGAAAATTTAATGAAACATGTTATGAGTGAACACCCCCTAAGTTATGTATGTAGACTATCTGTCATATTGTTGTGGAGAAATTTTAGATTAATCAATTGTAATTTTGACGTTTAGGCACGTATGTGTATAAATCATCGAAGACCAATGATTAAATAAATCATGAATTAATTCAAGTTAATTAAATTATAGTGATGGCCTCTAGAAGGTATTTTCACTTCCTAACATTTTTGGTCAAATTTCATTGAAGTTATGGTTTATTTTAAATCAAATCTTATTCTTACTTTCATACTTTTTTGGCTAATACAAATAAATAATTCTGTTACTTTACTGATTGTTCAATTTCACATCCATGCTCATGTTCATGTTTTATATGTTATTTGTACTTGTGATTTAAGTTTATGTATAATTGTCTCGAACATGATTTTGAAGTCGTGTGCCCTCAAGTTGTTTAAACATTGTTTTGAAGTTATATTACTTTGTTGCTAATATTATTTTTATAACTTTATATTTATATGTCGTAATATGGATGCTCATATAAGCAATTACACAAATATACAGTAAACAATCTGTTCTCTATATCAATGATTTACATGATTAAAAAGTTAATGATTAACAGGTTGATTACAATTAAGTTGTTTGTTTGTAATAATAGATGGTTTCATCCTTGTATAACTGGAAAGAAAGCTGAATCACTACTTCTGACATCAGGTGTTGAAGGATCATTTCTGGCCAGACATTCTCGCAGCAGCCCTGGAGATTTCACTTTATCTGTTCGTCGAGGAAATGAAGTTACCCATATTAAAATACAAAACAATGGTGATTTTTTTGATCTCTACGGAGGTGAAAAGTTTGCTACGCTGGCCGAACTAGTTCAATATTATTCAGAAAATGGTGGTCAATTGAAGGAAAAGAATGGTGATTGTATAGAGTTGAGAACTCCTTTAATTTGTGCTGATCCTACTACTGAAAGGTAATTACAAATTATATTACACTTATTTTATAAACTGTAGATTACTTAAGTTAGTCACATAGAAATATATATCAAAATGAGTTTTCAAGTGAAAGTAGAGCTTCTGTGATTGCTGGTAATAATAATTTAAAATCTCTCACTATAAGAAAAAGTGGAACATACAACTGGGTTTTCTTATATCGTATAATCATTCCTATGCCTTCTAAAAAGATGAAAATTAGTGATGTATCATCAGAACAGCTCATAGAACACTTATTTTTGATTATTGTTAAAAGACAAAGAAAACAATATTAGATTATAAATACAACAATAATTACTGCATTCTTAATATAGTAATAAGTAATAAGTTACAAAATGTAATGTGATTTTTAATTTATTGTGTTATATATTTTATCATAAAGTAATAAATGTGATAATTTTTTGGCAATAATAAATAATAGATTAAATTTGCAAAGAAACAAAATATATAAAAAATTTTTGGAGAGCCAAATATATTTTCTGAGACACTGATTGAAAATTTCTTATTCATTAAATTATTATTTTATTCACTTGTTTTTTTCTTATTGACAGCTCAAATTATTATTATTTTTTTTTTAATATTATAATTATTATGCATAATCAAGTTTTGAATTTTAGATGGTTTCATGGAAACTTATCTGGAAAAGAAGCAGAGAAATTGATATTAGAAAGGGGCAAAAATGGTTCATTTTTAGTTAGAGAATCACAGAGTAAACCAGGTGATTATGTTCTCTCTGTTAGAACTGATGATCGAGTTACACAAGTCATGATTCGGTGGCAGGTATAATTTATTATATATATATATTATATATATATATATATATATATATATATATATATGTATTTAGATTACATATTTACAACCTATTATAGAAAGACTTTTATGATGTTGGAGGAGGTGAACAATTTGCAACATTGTCTGAGTTAATAGAACATTACAAAAGAAATCCCATGGTTGAAACTACTGGTCATGTTGTACATCTTAAGCAGCCTTTTAATGCAACAAGAATTCATGCCTCTGGTATACATTTTCGAGTTCAACAATTACAGGTGAAACTTTTATATTTAACCACTAAATGCTTAAGGTCTAACTTAGTTTGTTTGTGAAAAACTGGCAAATTTGCACACTAACGAACTCAGTTTGTTCATAGGAATTTTTCCAAACAACACCAAACAAGATTTATAAAGTTTTATATTAAATTTCAATAACTTCAATATAATTATAAATCAATGCATTTTTTTGGGTGACTTGATTCTCTCATTTGTTATTATAAACTTAACCATATTAATTTTTTTTTTAAAATTGTTTATCTCATAATTTTAACATTCTAAACACATTGCAATAATAAAAAAATATGTTTTTTGCCAGTGAATTTTTAAAAAATGTGTGCATTAAGTGGTTAATTTTAATTTTTGCATATATATCATACTCAATATAATATGAGGAGTGTTGTCATATAAAAGCAATTTTAGGATGTGTAGACACGATTTAATTATTTTTTTGTGAACTTTAGATATATTTTTGTTTAATACGCTTATCTGGTGTTATTTTTGTATGTAAGTTTTATTTTATAAATACTGTACGCTGAATGAATTCATACAGCGTTCATTCATACATGACTCGAAAAGTAACTTGTTATGATGGCTGGGAGCAGACATACGACTGGAACAGTAAAAAGTTTTGAAGAGTTTTTGAAAAAGAACAGTTTGCTGGCTGAGAGTGGATAAACGACCAAAAAGGGTTAAATGTATCTAAGATGAATTTATTTGCTTCTCAATGCAATTTCTTCTCTTGTGTTTTTTATTATTTTATATCCTTTTTTATATTTATAATACTATTTTGATGGTTATTCTGAACATAGAATATGTGTATTCTGACATTCGAGTATAAATATATTCAAAATAGTATAATCAAGTTTCTACTGACTATTACGAAATCCTTGTAAAAAGTTGCCAAAATGACTGGCAGCAGTTAACAAGTACAAAAGACTATGGACTAAATGTAAAAATCTGGAGTTAATTTCTCTCAACTAGTACAGAAGTGATTCAAATCAATGTTGTGTTCAACCACACAAAACTCGCGATTTTTTTATATTTCTACTTTATTGGGTATCTGCTATGCACAATAAAATGTGCTAGTTTTTCTTTTAGTTATAAAATAATAATATATTCATTTTTAGAAAGAAAATGGTGCTAGTGGGACTGGTAAAGCGGGTTTTTGGGAAGAATTTGAGTCATTGCAGCAACAAGAATGTCGACATTTATTTTCAAGAAAAGAAGGACAAAAGGCTGCAAATCGGGCGAAAAACCGTTACAAAAATATTTTACCATGTAATAACTTGTCTAGTTTCAATTATTTTTGTAATTATTCAAGGTAATGAGACCTGTGACAAAAATATTTATTGCATGTTTGTTTGTAATAGTTGATCATACTCGAGTTGTTCTGAGAAATGGAGATGCTCAAGTACCAGGATCAGATTATATTAACGCCAACTACATTCGACAAAATGCTGATGAAAATGGGGAATGCACTGGTAAGATATTTTTAGTTTTATTTTTGCTAAGAGAATGAATGAAATTGAAGAAGCAGTGCGTACTTTTTTTGATGTGTGATCTCATTACAAATATTAGTACAGTTATTTTTATAGTAATATATAATTATTGCATTTTTCATATAATGCATTGATAGGTCCAACTTTGTTTACTTATGTGTGCTTAAACTGATAACGATATTTTCTTATAAGGATTGTAAGAATATTTGTTAAATATAATTTTATGTTATTAATAATTTTACATTTTACAGACGACAAATGGAAAAGTATACATTGCAACACAAGGTTGCTTACCCTGCACAGTTGCTGACTTTTGGGCTATGATCTGGCAAGAGAAAGTAAGAGTTATTGTAATGACGACAAAGGAGTTAGAAAGGGGAAAAGTAAGTACAATTTATATACATATATATATATATATATATATATTTATATATGATTAATTTCTTGTAAATAAAGTAAAGATTTTTTAAAACAATTTTGAAAAAAACAGAAAGTAATGTTAAAAACTAAATATACATAGAGCAAGAATAAAAAGAAAGAGATTTAACTAAAGAGACAGACTAATTATATCTAAACCTTAAATTAAAATATTGCATAAAACATTACTTACTTGAAATTCTTAGATGATCACTTACACATATTAATAACAGCTTGTAAAACAATAATATATATATATATATACGAGGTCTGTTCAAAAAGTACCCGGAATTTTCGTTTTTTCAAAAAAATATTTATTTATTCGTCTACATTAATGTGGTCCCCTTCAAAGTAGTCCCCCCCAGATATAATACACTTATGCCAGCGTTTTTTCCAATTTTCGAAGCACCTTGATATTCACTTTTTGATATGTCCTTGAGCACTCTCAGCGATTTTCTTCAATCGAGGAAAAACCGCCGTCCTTTCATGGGTCTCTTCACTTTGGGAATAGGAAAAAGTCACACGGAGCCATATCTGGTGAATTTTTGCACTTTGCAACACTTTATTTCATTTTTACGCAAAATTTAATACAAATTCTTTGACTTTTCAATTCTTCCATTGTAAAAATCGCCGAGCTCAGAAAAACACGTCGAACCTTAGCGACTACCACAGACAAAGTAAAAGTGAATATAGCTGAAAATTTCATCATACTTTAGGGCATGTATACCAAAACAATAAAAAAAAAATTTTGACAATCAGACACTCCAGACCCGCGAAATTTAATTATTAGTAATTCGGGTACTTTTTGAACACACCTCGTATATATATATTATATATATATATATATATATATATATATATATATATATATATATGTTGCAAGAGTTTAATTTTCTGTTGAAATGTATAATTAATTTCTAGGAGGGCGTACCACATCAAGTAAAATATATAAATAAAGTAAAGATTTTTTAAAACATCTTTATTTTTCCGTACATTTCGACTTAAAATTCTACGTCATCGTCTGTGGTTTTATGTAGTATATTTACACTTATTCAAGTAGATTTATATTCATTCACATAGATTTACTCTTATTGGAGTATATTTGCACTTATTATTGTAGTAAATTTAAACTCATTGGAGTTTATTTACAATCACTGTAGTTGTTATATTGATTGATATATTTAATTATGTATTGATCCAAAAATATTAATCAATAAAAATAATTAAATAATATGAGTTTTATAATAATATTTGTTCACACGTAGATTAAGTGTGCCAGATACTGGCCGGATGAGAACCAAACAAAACATTGGGGTAAAGCAAATGTAACAACTGTGAAAGAAATGCACACTGCTGATTACACTTTGCGAGAGTTCCATTTGAAATGGGAAGGACCACTGGAACAGAATGATATTTCAAGAGACAGAAGTGTTTGGCATTTTCATTTCCAGGTACATATATTAAATATTTAATTTCAGCTATGATTTTATTTAAACATATTTAATAGTATATGATAGATATATGATTTTTTATAATGTATTTATATGAATATAAGTATGTGTTAATTTATTAGGCATGGCCAGATCATGGTGTACCTAGTGATCCAGGATGTGTACTTAGCTTTTTGCATGATGTTAATGCTCGTCAAGAACAGATTGCACAGATTGAAGGTAGTGCTGCTGGTCCTATTTGTGTTCATTGTTCTGCTGGAATTGGTCGCACTGGAACATTTATAGTGGTCGATATGATATTGGATCAAATCAAGAAACAAGGTTATACGATATATCCATGCATATTTTCTAATTTAATCATTTTAATCAATTTATAGTAAAGACCTATCAGATTTGTAGGTTATTTTTAATTTATAATTTGCAGTTAAAAATCTGAAAATAATTCAGGAGCTGTAGGCTTGTGTTAAAACTTTATGATTTATCTTTTAGCTTTATTAGAAAATTTTGAATTCATTAATTTAGTGCAAACGTTAATTGAAGTTTTCTTTGATAATTTTTGTTTGATTCTGAGAATTTTGAAGTTATTTATAATAGTATGGCTCCTATTAGCAGAGATTGAAACTTGCTATATAGAATTTTTGGTAACTAACAGATGAAAACTTTTTTTTAAGTAACAAAAAGATAATTTTAGAAATTTAACCAATATTGCTAGATTTGAATTGTCAATGACCTTTATTAGTTTTGAATATTGAGAGCTTCATGCAACATGCTTCAAAGCAAAATTCCACTTACATAGTTTTATTATTTTTTCAGGTTTAGAATGTGAAATTGATATTCAACGTACTGTTCAGATGGTTAGATGTCAACGTTCTGGCATGGTCCAGACTGAAGCCCAATATAAATTTGTTTATTTTGCAGTTCAACATTATATGGAAACCTTACATCAAAGAATACATGCAGATCAGGTTAGTTGAATTTTTCCCGGTTAACACTGATCAATTGATTAATTTAGCATTTACATAAATTCTTGATTTTATATTTGGTTACAAATGAGCTTTTAATATGCATTCTTTATTTATTCTCTATTAAAACTGCTAATTAAGTAATGCATAATGCGTAATTATATGAAGTTTACTTTAAGAATATATGATTTATTATTGTTTTATTAAACAGAAGGTTGATCATTTTTAAAGTAAATTTTTACTATTTTTACCAGAAATCAACTCGCGAATATACAAATATCCGTTATACTAGCGATGTCAATCACTCATCAATGCCTGTAGAATTATTGGGCATGCCCAAGAATCAAGCCCTTAAAGATAATCTTCCAAGGTACGTTTACTTTATTTTGCTAACAGCACAAGAAAGGATACATACATATTTTGCTTTCACTTAATTTTTTTGATAGACCACCAGACGATCTTGATTCTGCTTTCAACATAAATGAAAAGGAAGAAAGTAATGAAAAATCGTTCTTAGTGAACCAAACAGTTGGTCGAGCACAGCAAAAAAACAGTAAAGTTGTGATGATGCCACTGTGTTCGACTGCCGTGAATGAGAGTCCTCCACCACCACCACCAAGGAAAGCCGCGCTGTGATAATGTATAAATAATATATTCATAATATATATATATATATATATATATATATATAATTTTAGAATCAATGAATCCTGGAGTTTTTATTAATTTGTGCGTGTTTTCCGAGCAATAAACCCAAAGAAAACATAGTTTTTGGAAGTTATTCGTGACCTTTTGGAATCAGTTATGTTCCATCAATTAAGCTCCAATACTATCTTCAAAACCCTTTTATTTTCTATTTGGATTAATTATTCAGAAAATCGGATCAAATATATGACAATATAGGAGACATATATATATATATATATATATATATATATATATATATATATATATATATGTATATATATATATAGGAGTTGTATGAATGTGTATAAATTTTAATAGAGAAGTGCCCAGGAATATTATTGTAACATAACGCTTTTTAAAAATAATGTTATTGCCTAATATATATTTTGGAACTATGTAATACTCAACTCATATTGTTATCAAAAAATTATATCTTTATTCTTGGATTATAAAACCATGCGGCAAACGCCATTGATAATTAGAAGTTTAAGTATTTAGAAAATAGGTAAAAATCTAACTTGTTTTTACAAAAAACCGCATTCGGCGATTAATTCAACCATCTAGTGAAAAGAAATAAATATACTAATTGGAGCACTCCTAGTCGAAATCCAATACAAAAAGAGAAGTATTATTAAATACATCTAGTTCTTAATATCTTGTTGGCACTTTTTATGTACATGATTGTGCATATACATATACATATATATGCATGGATATACATATATATATATATATATTATATATATATATATATGTGTGTGTTTGTGTGCGGTATAATTTGTATGATCTAACACAAATATGTGTAAAGTTTAATAAAAAATATTTTAATTCTTAAATGAATTTAAAATGACTTAATTTTTATGATAAAGTAATAAACATCCTGTGGCAGTATTTTTTTTCTATTATTATTTCAATGTGCTTTCAGGGTTATAATAGAGTCATTATGATTTTGAAATGATTATAATTATAATTTGCGTGACGTCATAAACACAAAATTGAGGATAATTAAAAATCCATAATAAATTCTGATCGGTAATTCTGTTCTTAAAAAAATAGTTTCTATTCACTACATTCACTCATTTACATTGCTTACTTAGGTGATGAACTGAAAACTGATAACATTTTCGAAATCAACGTTTTGGAGTCTTTTGGAATCGGTAAAAACATTTAAAAATCTCAAAGAAAAATCCATTTCATCAATAAAGTTATGATGTTGCAGCCAATGATTTTGATATTTGCAGTGTTATATGCTGGGAATGCTCATGAATTGTGGTAGCCCCATATAAATTCCATTAAGTGTCCAAAAAATAATGATACATAACAAATGACAAGATGTGCAAAAGTAATGATTATATCAGTAAACTAATAAATGCGATTTTAACTATAGTTTCTACAAACATTTTGTACATTTAAATTCTGTTAAAATTTTTTTTTAAGAATATTTTTCATTCTCACAACACGGTTTCACTCTAACACAGTTCGATAATTAGGTAAAACACTAATAAATATGAAAACATGAAATGAAGGGAGTATGAAAAAATGCTTAGGTAACGTTCAAATTACTACGTTGAAATTAAAACTATGAAAGTAGAAAGACGTAGAAACAATTTTTTTAAAAGAAGTACAGATAATCGACGATACGACGTAACGTGTTGTATGGGAATATCTGTACTTCAATTATAAAAAGATCTTTTTACGTCTTTCTACTTTTATAGTTTTAATTTGAACATCATAACAATTATTTTTGTTTCATGCAGACTTGAAATTATCATTTTTTGTTTTGTCATAAATCGGAAGAACCACTCTGATAATGGACTGTGGCTATACCTGTAACAGGTTTTTGTGCGGAATCATCAGAAGGTTAGTTAATGAACTTGACAATATAGTTTAGTTAATAAAATTTATTCTCAATAATTTAATGATTACATAATGTACAATAGATTTGATACACATTCTGACGCGTCACTGTCAATAACCTATGTAAGTATTGTTAAAAAAAAAGTTTCCTTACAATATCCATTTACTTATATTTATATTATTTCACAAATATGTCATAATTCTCATTGCTATATATTATAAACACGTAACTCATCTTCAAACAAATATCATTTTCTTTGAGCAGGCGG